TTTTAGTACCTGCCGTGTACAGCTAGGCTCTGGGCTTAGCACTGAGGACTCAGCAGGGAACGAGTCTGATGTGGGCTCTGCTCTCAAGAAGGCTATATTCTAGTGGTAGAGAAAATTCGACAGGTTTTTACAGCAGGTTATTACAACCCCGTGTAAACATATCGCAGCTGTGGGGCAGCACAGGGCTCTGTGGGAGGACAGATGCGCACCGTGGCCCAGGCTTGGGGTGGAGGAGAGGTCAGGGAGGAAGGAGGAAGCAATATAGAGCTCGGTCCTGTGGTATGAGTAGGTGTTATCCAGGTGAAGGGGTGGGAACAGTGTTCCAGACAAAAGGAGCAGGATGTGCAAATGTCTGGGGTTAAGAGAGACCACAGTGGTCTTCGGGACCTACTGTCTTGAAATTCTATTTTACCTTATAGACTTCGGCATCTCCGCAGGATCCGGGACAGTGCTGTGTCTTTTCGAAGCTCCTAGGGGAGCACTGTCTGTCTTCTTCCTGGTCATCTTTGTTGAAGCTCATGCTGTTTTTTCCCCCATATTAATTGCACACAAGGGATCTCACAGTCCTTTTAGGGCTGTCACATTCCAAGCGCTCAGATTGTATCCGTCGAAGGGCCCTGCTCTGAGAGGTGGGAGACCATTCTAATTTCGGATCTGTCAGCTTCCTGTGTGACCTTGGAGGAGTCACTTGCCTTCCCTGAGCCTCAGGCTCCTCCTTGTGTAAAAGGAGAAGCAGCAGACACGACCTGGCTCACCGTCACTCTTTCCACAACGACTCTTGTTGTAATTTTGGGACTTGCAACATACACTGATGGGTCCCAAGTGCCCGGAGCAGGGTCTGGTACATAGTAGGTGCTCAAAAGGCATATGCTGAGTGAATGAATATTCTCCATGTAGGACCTCCTCGTCTTCGGTGATCTTGTCCTCGCTCCCCCAGGGACTCCTGCCACAGCCACCTCCGTAATTACACCATACTGCCCCTCTTCCCTGCTCCCCCACGGGCCCAATTTTAACCCTCTTTTGGTCCCCCAGGCCCTCAACCTGTCGGTCCGACCGCCTTCTCATTGTCCCTCCTCACCTCCACCCTGTGCTCACTCCTTCCCAGCGTAGATCCCAGGCTCATGACAATCTCTCCCTTTCGCTCACAGGCCCCTAGCCTCTCCCTGCCACCTGCCAGCTTCCCTGGATACATCCCGGCCCTCCATTAAGTCCAGCTCCCTGCCTGTCCCCGACCCGCACCCTCATAGCTGGACAAAGCCCGGGATTCACACAACGGCGCTGACCGATGGCCCGTCAGACTGGTGACCGCTGACCGGCCATGGGGCCCTGTGGTGCTGTGGATCCCCTCACCTCCCGAGTCCTGAGTGCATTCCCCCACCGGCCTCATCGATGACTTTGCACTCCACTTCTCTGACCTTCCCCACTGCCTCCCTCAGCTTTCCTCTCAGCCCAGAACCTTCCTCTGTCTCTCAATGAGCAAGGAGAAGCAACCCAAAGGAGGCTACAAACTCCTGCTGCCCCACGTAGCTACCTTCTGGTCTCTGCACAGCCAGCGTGAGCCCTCGCCCCGTGCTCCGCTGCTGCTCACCTACTTAGAGACATCCCTCCAGCAAGATTCTCCTCTCTTCCTTACGTGTTCACCTTCCTCTTCTCTCTCGGACCAGTCACACCAGCATAAGATGTGCTGGTACATTACCCATCTGTCTTCCTACCTTTCTCTGACCGCCTGAAGCCAGGGAAGGCGTTCGGCTTTTAAGGATCCCATGGTTAGATTAGAGTATGTGACTAGAGTGCGTGACCCAGGCTAATCTTCCAACTGGAGGTCCTGCTTTAATCATATCTGCAGAGTCTCTTTGTCCGGTAAGCTGGCGTTACTCACAGGCTGTGGGATTAGGACGTGGGCATCTCTGGAGCCATAACTCTGCCGACCGCAGGCCCAGGCCTTTGGAGAGGGCTTCTCAGAGTTGTTGCAGAGAAACCCCGGATGCAGAAGAAAGTGAACAGGGTCCCAGGGGTTGAGACCTCACCCCCAGCTCTCAGTTGCTCTGCACATATCTTTGAAATCTTTTCCGTCTTTAAAATTTCTGTCCATTTTGTATGCTACTTAAGAATACATGTGTTTCAGTATTAGAAAAAAATGCTCTAAATTGCTTGCCAGTTAGATCACGTACCATTTCCCCCTGAACTGGGAGTGAATAATGCTGCAGAAAAGTGAAACAGTTTTTTCTTAACGTTTATTTATTTATTTATTTATTTATTTATTTTTAAAAAAATTTTTTTTTCAACGTTTTTATTTATTTTTGGGACAGAGAGAGACAGAGCATGAACGGGGGAGGGGCAGAGAGAGAGAGGGAGACACAGAATCAGAAACAGGTTCCAGGCTCCGAGCCATCAGCCCAGAGCCTGATGCGGGGCTCGAACTCACGGACCGCGAGAT